CACCCTGGTCCCAATTCAGGATGGCTCTGAAGGGTCATCTTCTCTGCAAGATAATGGAATTTACTTCCAATTCTCTGTGGTAGCCAGAATGATGGCCACCCAAAGATATCCATGTCCTAATCTCTTGAACCTATGAATATATGAAGTTAAATGGAAAAGGGGAATTAAGTTTGCACATAGAATTAGAGCTGTTAATCAGCTGACTTCAAGATAGGGATATTATCCTAGATTGTCTGTGTAAACCCAATGTAATCTTAAAAGTGAGTTCTTAAAAGTGAAAGGGAATCAGAAGGGGAGATAAGAGTGATAAAACCTGAGAGAGACTCAACCTGTCATCCCTGGATTTGAAGATGGAGGAAAGGCAGAGGAGCCAAGGCCAGAAACCTCTAGAAGCTGGAAAAGGCAAAGAAAGTGATTCTCCCCTAGTTTTCAGAAAGATATTCCCTCTCTGACTAATTTGGCTTCCTTCCTTCTCTCAGGAGTGTTGATTCTGAATGTATTTCCTCATCAACTTAGTGCAGTAAATCTGTGTCTCAAAGTCTTGTTCATGTGGTACATAACCTATAACAGAAACATATATTAGGCTTACATTTTTCTACTTAAATTATAGATCTCATGTTAACCTAATAATTGATAACACTGCTGAAACAAAGGCACAGTTTAGTCGCAAATTTGCAGTCTGATCCCTCAAGCTATGAGATATCATAGTCAAGCTATGAGATATCATTGTCAAGAATGTGACTGGCAAATACTGCAAGTCAGGTGAATCAGAGGCTGCTATGGTTTGAATGTTTGTGTCTTCTTCAAAATTCACATTGAAGCTCAAACCCCAATGTGATAGTATTATCAGGAGTGGCTTAAGGAGATGATTAAGTCATGAGGGTGGAGCCTTCATGAATGGGATTGGTGACTTATAAGTGGGTTGGAAGGCACTGGCCAGGCCCCTTGTGCCCTTCTGTCTCTTCTGCCATGTGCCAACATTCAAGGCACCATCTTGGAAGCAGGGATTGGTTCCTCATCAGACACCAAACCTGCTGGCACCTTGACCTTGGACTTCCCAGCCTCCAGGACTGTGAGAAATAAATTTCTTATATTCATATATTTCCTGGTCTAAGATATTTTGTTATAAGAGCACAGAAAGACTAAGACATAGACCTAGGTCAGCTATGTCAGGGAGGCACAGGCCAGCACCATAGGCCATGTCAGCTAGGGGTCATTTTGGGGAAAATCTCTAGGGCATGTCTTAGGAACCCAGTCCAAGAGATTGTAAACAGAGGATTAAGAACCAAAGAAACTGGTCAGTATGTTTCCTGTGTGAAGATACTGAAACTGGTATGTAAGAGGCAATTAGAATATGTTAGTTCCCTATTTTTCCCCTCATGCAGATATCAGAGAGACTTCTCTACTGCTTGGGACGCTTGTTCAGAGTACAATTTCCATAGCAGCAAGAAAAGGAGTTTTTGTTTCTGGATACTTTAAAGTAAATAAAGCTATTATAGAAGGCAAAATAAAAAAATGTCAAACAATTTCTCTTTTCATTTAAAAACAAAAACAGAATAACAAGCCCCAGATGCATGTTTGAATATAAGTACCCAACAAATGTGCTCAGCATTCCACCTGCCAATGCAATGTATGGTGTGCAGTGGAAGTAGGGGGTAAAAGCTCCCATTAGTGTCACTGAATCTGCACCCTAGGACCTGTGAGATGTAGGAAATGCATTAGGCACAAAATGTGTTCATTTGAGCATTTTTCTTGAGATGTCCTGAGGCTTTTTCACATTAGTCAGTGTACAAAGCACATAGCCTTCTGCAGTATCGTGAACAGAATCATCCCAGTACCAAATGGACTATGGTGATGACCTAACTAACTTAATCCATGTTGTGAATTGATCTTATGTTCAAATTATCCCAGTCCCTAAGAGTGGGATAGTGGCTGTGACATTTGCTCAAAGAGGTTCAGAGAAAGAGATTTCTGATGCACACTGGGCTTTCCTTCTCTGTGCTCCCTAATTACAACATTTTTAACTCTTGGTTGTGTATTGTATTTGTGATGTATATATCCATTACCTAATAGACTTAAAGCACCTTACCATGAGGGTCTGAGTCTGATTGCTTTTCAACAAAGCAATTTCCTATGTCGTCTTGCACAGCAAATGCCTATTGAGTGAAGAAGAAGAGCAATTTGGGTTGAAAGTGGTCTAAGTAAAAAGCACAATTCTGATTGTGGTCTATATATGATGCTAGGTATATTTGATGAAGCTGAGATGATATGATCACCTGCTCCCATGGGGAACTTCCTACAGGTCACCATCACCTCCTGTATCACCATTGCCTAATGGTCCTGAAAGTATACCTCACAGCTTTCTATGGGTGAGGGAGGGGAAGTGATAGCTGTTAGCTCAGATTCACATCTGTTCTAGCCCAGCAACGTTTCGGGATCTCTGACTTCAGTGTTTCCTCCAGAGATATTGTAGTCATCTGATCCACCACTGGTGGAAATGTTGTAAGCCTGGCTTCCTGCAATTGATTTTTCCTAGTGCCTACACAAACCAAGCTATAATGCTTTGGGAATTTAAACAATAATTTGACTTTAGTATGATATAAAAGTGATCACTAGAATAAAGGAGTCAGCAAAAATGTTAGAGTTATGGTGTACGATAAAATTCAACTTTACAGTCATTAATATCTGTATTAGTGTGCTCGAGGTACTGTAACAAAACACTATAGATTACAGGATTTAAACAATAGAAATTTATTTTCTCACAGTTCTGGAGGCTGGAAAGTCCAAGATCAAGATTCTGGCAGGGTTCAGCTCTTCTTCGAAAGGCACTCTTCTTTGCTTGAAGACTGCTTCCTTCCTGCTGTGTTCTCACATGGCTGAAAGAGACTGAGCTCTGTGGCGACCCTTTTTAGAAGGCCACTAATCCTGTGGAATAAGGATGTCACTCTCATGCCTCATTCAACCTTTATTACTTTCACAGAAGCCCTATCTCTAGCTACAGCAACAATGAGGGTTACAGTTTCAGCATATGCATTTTGAAGGGACATAACATTCATTTCATAACAATATCCATTAGGTTAATTTGGAAATAATGATTTATTTATACATAAAAAGAATGTTGAATTGTGAAATATTTTATAATTTACAGAATTTCAAGAAGATTAGTAGTTATGACTAGTTGGCTATTGCTACACATAGTTAAAAAATCATTTCACGGCCGGGCACGGTGGCTCAAGCCTGTAATCCCAGCACTCTGGGAGGCCGAGACGGGCGGATCACGAGGTCAGGAGATTGAGACCATCCTGGCTAACACGGTGAAACCCCATCTCTACTAAAAAATACAAAAAAAAAAAAAAAACTAGCCGGGCAAGGTGGCGGGCGCCTATAGTACCAGCTACTCGGGAGACTGAGGCAGGAGAATGGCATAAACCTGGGAGGCGGAGCTTGCAGTGAGCTGAGATCCGGACACTGCACCCCAGCCTGGGCAACAGAGCCAGACTCCGTCTCAAAAAAAAAAAAAAAAAATTCATTTCACATTTTTACTGTGCTTTTCAGTTTACAACACTCTTGCTTATATATTGTTATTTGAGTTTCATTGTTTTTACTCTCCTGTCTTAAGAATATGGTATGTTTTGTTTTTCACTCTACACTATGTAACACAGAGACTTGCCCAATACAGACACAAAGGAAATATATACTGTAATAAACTAACATCTTTCAATAAAAATCAACACAATTAAGAATTTTAATTTTCTCCATCTATCAAAACTTTGGCACTGCAATAGTTTTAGAAATAAAAGGAGAACAGAAAGTCCCTCTTAATATGTTCTCCTAGTCAATACACGTTGAAAAGGCATTGGTGTTGAATTCATAGCAACATGGTGTTGAATCCTATGTTTATTACTAATAAGATATTTGACCTTGAGCAAGTTGTATGACCTCTTTGAGCTTGAGTTTCCTTTACTCTAACTTAAGAATCATACTATTTGCCTCACGTATGTTTAAGGAAGATAATATAGGTCAAATGTTTGACACTTTGCCAGCTGTGGGCACTCAATCAATTAGTTTTAAGTCTCTTAATGAATTAAGAAGAAAATGTTAGTAAGAAAGTCTGCTTACATGGCACATAGGAGAAAAAATAAGATTCTGCCCAACTAGTTGGCTTTGATATATAATAGGCCAAAATATACAAATATATTTCAAATTGACAGAATTTCTATACCAAAAGATTCGATTGAAGAAGATATTTATTAAAAAATGAGTTATTCAGAAAAGAATACTAGTCACAAAACAGAGATAGAGTCACTGTGGCATATTTGAGCAGTGCCTACCTGAACATTGTTCTAGAAAGAAGGTGGCCAGGCTTAGAAGATACAGGAATTTTTCTCTGAAAGTTTGATGTCGCTAAATATCTAAATCATAAAACTGGACATCCCGTCCCAGTTCCATGTGTACAAGGAAACCTTTGGATAATAATTTCGCTCTCCTTGTAGTTTGCTTTTATGGGGAGAATGTGTTTAGAGGATGCAAGTACTTGGCCCTCTTGGCCAATAACCTTTCAATTAAAAAAAAATCAATTGGATTTCTGAATAATACATTAATGTCATGCCAACTCAGCGTGAGTCAGCATTTCTTGCTTCATCCCATAGCTCTGGGGCACACAAGATCAAAGTTCTATAAGGGAAAGAAACTAGAACAAGCAAGGTCAACACCAGCTAATTTTGCTACATAATGCCCTAGTCTCAAGAGTATAACACATTCTACCCGACACTTTTTGGCCATGAGTGGAGGATAAAAGATATTTATTTATAAATCAAGTTCTATAAAATGAAGAAGAGTTTAGAAGATATTCTGTAAGTGTTATAATACTGCTAAAAGAAGTGAAAAGAAGGGAAAAAAAGAATTTAAGACAATATGTATTAAAATTTCAATCGTTATCATAAAGTAACTTCGTTGATCAGTTATCCTTATCAACTAAGTTAATTTGTTTTGCATTTCAGACTTTGAAAACTAGGATATTCTAAATTCAGGTAAGATATATTTACAAAAGTTGCTTAGCAAGGATGAAAAAGAAAGAGAAAGGTTGTGTTGAGTAATTCACGTTTCTGAATGTGATGATCTAGATATTGAGTAAAATTAACTAAAATATTCTGAAAATATTAAAAAACAGATCCTTACCATAATGAGCTTCTGCCAGTCTACCTCATCATGAGGCACATTTTTTGTTGGCTGGTATTATAAGCCCTGTTTACAAAGTGATGGATGGTGAAGATAAAGTTTACATGAAACTTTTAGATGTCATTATTATTCTCTTTCAATAGCAATATGATAGAGGATGACTGGATAATTATTGGTTGCCTGTGAAACTGTCTTTCCTCCCTTACCCTTTCCAACAGTCCTGATTTTCTTTTGAGGATTCATGTGCTTCTGCGGAAGCTGTGCCCATCTACCATTGCTGCGGGAGTGGAGCAAGTGTTGTAGGATTTTCCAAGAAGTAGATTTTATTGCTCTGGCTACAGTGTTTGCTTCAGGGTTAGACATGTGATGTAATTCAATTGAATTGAAATTAACCTCCAAACTTTTGCTTAGAATTGTGGGACATAGGCACATTACCCTTATCCCAATGACATAGTGTATAGATGTGAGGGCTGGGACTGGTGCATCAATTTTTAGTAATAGCAACACAAATAAAAAACCCAAGAGAATCAAACAGACTTACAGCAGGGGTGTCCAATCTTTTGGCTTCCCTGGTCCACAATGGAAGAAGAAGAGTTGTCTTAGGACACACATAAAATGTACTAACACTAACGATAGCTGATGAACTAAAAATAATTGCAAAAAATTCTATAATGTTGTAAGAAAGTTTACAAATTTGTGTTGTGGCATGTCCAAGTTGTCCTAGGCTACATGTGGCCTGTGGGCTGTGGGTTGGAGAAGCTTGACCTAAAGGCAAATAGCATCATAATTCTAATAGTCAAGCCGTGTCTAACAATAGACTTACCTCTGTACATTTCACTTATATAAGCTATACATTCTTATTTATTGTTTAAGTAAGTTGATTTTATTGTTGTGTGTGATATAAAGTATCCATGCTAATACAGAAATATACTGAGTAGTTTTCAATATGAATAGATTTTCATCACTCAGAGATGAACAGAATGTTTTAAGCCCACATCAGCTTTTAGAGTTATCATTTCACTGAGCACATGTTTTTAGAAAATATTTTAACAATTTGGACAAACTTCTACTATTGCATGTGCTTATCAGTACTATCAAGTCAATAAAATCTTGGCACTAAAATTTTAGTTTTACACAGTTTGATCTTAAACCACTTTGCAATAACAGAATGTTCTTGGTCATAAATAAGTTTCTTAAAAGTACAAAGGATCTCACGCCCTGCCCCCACACCAAAATAAGAATAAAAACCTCAGTTCACCAAGATATGTGGGATATGAGGAAGCCTAATTGTATTTTGTCTTGTTTTGGTTGAGCCCACTACATATTTACCACACATATTCAACATTTCAAATTTTTGAGAATGAAGGCAGCATACTAAAACAGTTTATATAAAAATGAAAGTGTCAAAGAAAACATGATTATATTTCTCAGATGTTGCACGAACTCTTATACTCTCTAACACCTGTCATGCCACACCTTCATTATTCACAAACTTAACTGTGAATATTCATTTTTTGAAGACTGGGCCGAATACACATCCCACTAGGATTTTGGTTACCACTTTTTCCATAAGATTTGGAATCACAATTTAGTACCACTTAGGGTTCTTTGCCACAAAAACCAGAAATGAACTCGACTTGAGCAAGAGGGATTTGCTTGTGAGAAAGCATATTGGTGTGTGTTTGTAGGGGTGTGTGTGTGTGTGTGTGTGTGTGTGATCACATATGTGGAGATTCGTAGAATTAATATGAAGTAACATACCAGGTTTGAATACAGGAAGAAGCCAACAGAGAAACAGAAGGAAACATACAAGCATATAACAAGAAACAGGAAACAAGAAGCACAATAACCGTCTCTAACCATTTACAACAGCCTGGGCAGGAATCCCCACTGTCTATAAGAATGATGAAATACCCCCAACCTCCCCCTCCCACCACCTAACTTGGTTAAGATGAAAATTCCCAGGAGGTAGGGATCATTTGGTCAAATAGTGGGAATGTGCAGGGAAAGAAAAGATCAGTTTTATTTGGCTTGTGCTTCTGCAGTGAAAAGCAGACACTTAGAGTCACTCTTCCCAAAGGAAATCAGGGTAATATTAGAAAGAACCATGCACTCTATCCAGACAAAATGGCACAACTGGCAACTATATTATCTATAGTACAAGAATTCACAGTAATTTGTTGCTCTTCATATAGACATATGTTGTTAAAGGACTAAGCAGCATGATTACTATTATTTTGTTTGTTTTTTAAGCAGGTCAAAAGATTAAAATGTTTCTATAAATATACAACTTAAGTGTAAAATGCCACTACTCTTCTAGGCACAATTTTGGGAAAGAAATTTCTTGGAGATAATATTTGTGATCCTGTGTAACTCTTTGAAATATAGTAGGAGGAAAAAGCTTGAGATTGCAAGCATGTGTGCCATATTCTGCCACTTAAAAAGACTGGCTCTCATCAGTCTCATGTGAATAACAAAGAACAGCCATCCTAAGAGCAAAAGATAGACTTCTTGAATCCACCTTTGACAAGGTGTATGAAGTTAGTTTATTTATTAAAAATGCTTCTATTGGAAATATCACAGTGAGAAAAAATGAGGCAGTGTATTTATTCCAAGTCTTCATAAGGCTAGTTTTCTAGTAAGGTATGGTGGTTTATTCTTCCCATCTGCAAAATATGGCATGATAAATTTGAGTGCCAAGTGCCTTGCCTTTGCTATATTGATTGTTTGAAGTTAAGCAAAGAAGAAATATTTCATCCTTAGACTAAAAGCTCATGGACAAAAGCTTTGGGGTTTGCTTCAATGGTAGCTAAGAGGCACAAAAGAGATGATAGGTTGAGAAAAGGGAAAATGCATCATTGTTCTTTGACTATGAGTGCATATCCTTAACACCACAAAGAATAGTCATAGAAGAGAGCAATCACACTTTTCTATAATGCAGCCCTTTGTAAATATAATTCATTGGTGCAATATCTAAATACTCAGTGGGTTCTGACAGTTTCATCCATCACAATACAGGCCTCACCATGTCACTGGCTCAGACTGATAAATGCAAAATGACAGTCATTCATCCGGTGGAATAGAAAAAGCCAGGGAAAATATAACGTGAAGTCACTTATGCCATTTGATATAGCTTTGCAATGTCTATCTTTTCTCTCGCCTATCTTTCGTTGTGTGTGTGTGTACATGCCAGCATGATTTTACTCTTTGCATAAATATATATAAGACAACACATTTCCCTAAAATAAAAAAGTATGAATTAAGAAAGATTATAGCTGCATTATAATGGATTCAGATTCTGCTATGACATAAATAGAATTAGTTAAAGATTAAAGTTAGAATGTAAATGCCACTTCTTAACTTTTTCTGTTTCTTGCTATTGAGGAGCACAGTCTAAAATTTGTAGGCAGATAGAGTATAAAAGTAATGTACAATTATGGCACTTATGCTAATTTTTTTCTTTTATACAACAATTCTACAAAAATAATGACTATATGTACACATTAAAGGAAACTTTTTGTAGATTTACTGAAAAATAGGTATTAATAATATGGGTATTGACAGCTATGTACCATTAATTTAAAAATTAAAAAAATAAAAATAACAGTAAACTGAAACTCTCCATTCTCTCATCTTCCTTTTCCTACGTTTATTTTTAAACAAATTGTACTGCATGCATCAATATCCATTAGGGTCATGTGTTGACTTAGCAATAAATTTAATTATTGGTTTAGATCTCTTAAGATGTATGGAACCTCTAATATACACATTTTTGTTTTTATGTTACTGAGGAAGACAGCTCAAGTGATAGAAATAATGGGACAGGAAGTAAGAAGACAGTTCTGGTCTCAAGTTCTTCTCTGACAGCTCACAAACTAGTTAATATGTAAGTTTGAAATATGATTTCTGTATTTTATTGCAAATTTCAAATAGATATTTATTTCCAGCTTCATTGAGGTATAACTGACAAATAAAATTATATAAATTTCAGTTGTAAAATATGATGTTTTAATACATATATTATTGTGAAATGATTGCAGAAATCAAAATAATAAATATATTCTTCAGCTCACATAGTTATAATTTTCTATTTGTGGTGAGAACATGTAAGATCTATTATACTAGCAAATTTCAAGAATATAATACAATATTATGAACTATAGTCTTATTGATCAGGTAGATCAAAAACTTTGCAGCTTTTAAGCCCCAGCTCCTAGTAATCACCATTTTAATGTCAACTTTTGTGAGTTTAACTTCTTAAGATGCCGCATGTAAATGAGGTCATGCAGTTGAAGGAAATAAAAATATTTCATGCCAAAATGTCTTTCTTTAGCATATTTTGAGGTGGCTATTCAGAGGGCTTGAAAATGGAATTAACCCTGAAATGAATCTTTTGTGGGGCATACATTTTAAGGAAAAAGTCCTCCCCTATGAAAGTAAATTCAAAAATAGGGAAAACTGACTATTACACTAGATGAACAGATATCAGTGTAAAGACACAGGAAGCCCAAAAAAGCAAGAAAATATGACACCTCCAAAGGAATACAATAATTTTCTAGCAATAAATCTTAATCACAAAGAAATTTTCAAAATCTAAGATAAATAAGTCAAAATATTGATTTAAAAAAAGCTTGGCCAGGCATGGTGGCTCATTCCTGTAATCTTAGCACTTTGGGAGTCCGAGGTGGGCAGATCACCTGAGGTCAGGAGTTTGAGACCACCTGGGTCAACATGGCGAAACCCCGATTCTACTAATAATACAAAGAATAGCTGGGCGTTTGAGATTTTTTAGCCATTATTTCTTTTAAAAAGATTTCTGCTCTTTTCTTGGAATTTCTGAATACATGCATTGGTTCCTTTGATGGTATCCCACAAACCACATAGGTTTTTATTTATACACTCTTTGATTTTTTTTTTTTTCCATCTGACTGATTTCAAGTAACCTGTCTTTGAGTTCATAGATTTTTTCTTTTGCTTGATTAGGGAAAGACCTACTATTGAGATGTTTGAAAGCTTCCTTTGAAGCTCTCTGCTCCATTTTGGATTTTATTCACTGTAGTCGTCAGCTCCAGAATTACTGTTCATATCCTTTTTATGATTTGTATCTATTAGTTGAATGTCTCATTTGTTTGTGTATTGTTTTTGTGATAACATTGAGTTGTCTATCTGTGTTCTCTTGGAGCTTGCTGAGCTTCCTTAAAACCATTATTTTGAATTATTTGTCAGGTAATTTGTAGATATATATTTCTTTGGGGTCAGTTATTAAAACATTATTCCATTTCTTTGGTGGTGTCATGTTAAATTTTTTGTTGTTGTTTCTTGAAATCTTGAGTTGCTTCTTTGCATTTCAAGAAGCAATCACTTCATTCAGTTTTTACTGACTGGCTTTGAGAGTGAAAAATCTTCATCAGTCATCCCACTTAGGCATTGTGGGGGTCTCTCAGATCTTTTCTATGGATGCCCCACTCCATTTTTCTTTGTCCCTTTTGGGGAGAAAGTACTGGTATCATATGCCTTATCTCCATCCCACAAAGTCAGTTGCTTTTTTCCCCCCTAAGGAAGTGCCCTGAAGAGTTCAAGGTCAGGTGCTTTTCCCGAATTTAGTAGAGTTTGATCTAGGTGTCTGTGTATTGTGTATGATTTTTGGAGACTCACATATACTGTCTTCAGGGGAGCACAAAGGGTTCTGCTTATGAAAAGGAGGGGCATGCAGAGTGCTAGGGGCACATGTAGACCACCTGGGGTCTGTAGTTAACTTGCGTTATGAGGTTGGTGGTCTGGACTCTTGGTGGAGTTTGCGAAGTGGTTAGTAGAAACCACAACACTTTATTGAGTTCTGTGTTCCATTGCTCTGAGTGCCTATTCAGTTTTTCTTCTCCTAGCTGCCTGCAAATTATTGAGTAATCCCAATTCTCTCAGTTTTCTGGATGGGATAAGACAGATGCTGGCCTCCTCAATAGTGTCCCAAATGGCTAGGGAGACAGAGTGCTCATTATACTTTCACTTTCACCTGTGAGGTAAATTAAAGGCAAAGAGGGTCTCCTGGCACAGCACTGAGCTGTGCTGCTTTGGTGGAGGGGTGATGAGGATATAGTGAAACTGTTCTCTTACCCTCTTCAATGTGTCTATTCATAGATTAGAAGAGACATCTATAAGGTGCTGGCATCTCTCTACCGGCCTCCTTTTCTCCCTCAAAAGTACTCTCATCCTTGTATAGCTGTCGAAATTGGTGTTTGTTGGGAAGGAGATCTGCAGACTTCTATTTTGCCATCTTGCCAGTTATTCCACTGGGTTTTTATTTTAGAAATTATTAAAATTTACACTATAAAATATTTAAGGATATAATTTTGTTCATTCATTAATTATTTACTCAGGTTTGGCTGATTGCAAAATATTGGGAACATACCAAGGAAAAAGACAAACACCATGACTTCTGGAAGTTTAATTTCTAGTGAAGGAGACAAAACTGAACAAAAAAAAGAGTGATATTATTTGTGATAGATATATGTGTGATGAAGAAAAATAAAACAATGTAAGGGGAGGGAAACGCTTGTGTAATTCTTGTCAGGGGAGACCTTCTTCAGGAAAGGAAATTTGCTAGAGGAAGACTGTAAGATAATGAGGGGGAAGAGAAGAGAATTTCAGGCAAAGGGGAAAAATTCTGGAAGTCATTTCTATCTCGAAAGAACATAGTAATTTAACAGAACTTAGAAATGTCTGTGAACTACATAAATAAATGCCATTCAACCACAATAATTGTATCACCACCCCAACTTCCCCATAGACCAGCACCTTCTTTCATGCCATCTGCCACGAGAGGAAACGTGACTGAAAGGAAGTATGAATGCAATGAAACAGAGTTCTAAATCTAACATAGTTAAAATATTGGACTCTCGAAAATTTTACAAAAGCACATGGACCTTCCCAACACCTTGTAAAGGGCCTGTGCAGCGTGATGACCTGAAGCTTAAACTTCATTTATTTTTGGTGAATCCTCTTTTAATCAAAGGTCAGTTTGTTCTTTTCACCTTTTTCCCAGGTGAGGAAAAAATCAGCATTTAAGTACATTGTGTGAATTAAAGGATTTTAATTCTAACAATGGGAATTCTGACCAAGAATCTCCTAATACACCAAAAAAGAGCCAGTGGGAAAAAAATTACAAATTCTATTTTGAACATGTTCATTTCCACCTGTCTTATCAGACACCTAAATAAGGATGCCCAACTCTAGAGCTCAGGGAAGAGCTGAGCTTAGAGATGCATGCTTTGGAGTCAACAGCCTATAGACAGCATTCAAAACCAAATGCTGGATAAAACCACTTTTGGGCTTGAGGGTAGTAAGAGAAGGGCAAAGGACCCAGGACTGAATTCTGTGACACTCTGACATTAAGTCATTTATTTGTCTAAGATAGGAGCAACCGTGTTGCTTTTGCATGCTCACAGAAATGCAATAAAAAGAAACAACAAAAAAGATAATTTATGAAGACAGACCATGATCGTAGAAGCAATGGGCTTGGACTCGGTAACAAAATGGTATCCATTAGAAAAGTTAGGGAGCTGGCCTGAGACAAGGACAAAGGAAGTTCATCCATTATAAAAGGAGGTAAAGTGGAGTGTGTAGGTATATAATGTCAAATATAGGGTACATAGAGTATAGTGAAGTGAAGGGAATTATCCAAATAATCAGAAACTCATTCTATTTCTACTAATTGCAATTCCCGCTAGGCACATGCATGTTGCTCCACATGACTATTAAAATTCTCATACCTTTGTCTTTATCTGTTGATCTATCAGGGTATCAGTCTACTTACTTCTGGTTTTCATAGTTGAATATAGAAATTCTTTGAAGGCAAGAGTTATCCATTACTGAGCATTCCTCCAAACATACACATACACATGTTTTTCAGTGCTTGGCATATTTTACAGAAATGTAGGGGATAATAATTTCCATTATTTGATCAATATAAATAAATCAGTGTTTGGTTATCTACTAGAAGACATGCTCTATGAAGGCAGGGGCTTTGAGTGATCTGTTAACTGCTCTATCTCCAGCATGAAGAAGAGCCCAGCCCATTAAATATTACCTGTGTGTGTATACTCTTCAATCTGAAGACCAGATATGTGGACTTTTAAGACTATTGTAAACCAGGTCCACCTGAAGGGTAGAAGGAAACGATGACTCTTGTGAGGAAAGTAGTAAAGAAAAAGAATTTTAAAGGGAAAGAGAATAAAAACAGTGAAAACAAGGATTATGTTACAACTAGTTTAGGAGTGGTTGGTATGTCTAAAAGAAATACTTATTTCAAAGAAATAGAGAAAAATGTTGTAAAACTCAGCCCTGGCTAGGGAATGGGAAAGATGAAGTCTGGAAATGCTGAGAACACTGTGGGAAATTCTGAGAACCAAGGTACATTTTACCATCTCTCATTGTGTTTTCAGCCGGTAAGGCTGAGGACCAAGGTCATGATTTGTAGAAACCACAGTGAGTAAATATGGCAGCTCAGTATGTCTGGGTAAGGAGGGGACAGCGTTAAGTGCTCTTCACCTAGTCTGGACTCTTGTGTAGCATGGAAAGGATCAGAAGTTGTTGTTTCCTTTGAGAGAAGGGATGGTTTAAGCGCTGGGGAGCTTTTAGAGGGGCTCCTGTTGGCACAAGTAAAACGACCCTGAATAGAAGGGTTGATGGACAGGTCTCTCAAGGCTCACACAATTACCTTGGTGGGTGAAATATAGTGATGAGAGTTGGAGAGAGACCTACTCAGCCATGAAAGGTGCTGGCCTCCCAGAAACATGGCCTGGCTGAGCAAACACATCTGGAGCTACAAAAGCCAGGATTTGAGCAGGAACACAGGCAGAATGCCTTCTTTAAGACTGGATAAACCAGATTTTAACATACATAGTCAACAGACAGTGAGTATCAAAGACTTGGTACAGAAGAGATGAGCCCAAGACCTCCTATGAGA